CACACACACACACACACACGCACACATGCACACACACACACACACACACACACGCACACACACGCACACACACAAAAAGACGTAATTGATCGGAATGGGACCGCTCACTCCCTGGACTGGATTTCCAGCATGATCTCAGCAATGCCGACCAGCTTGGTCTCCTCCAGGGCCTTGATCAGCCGGCCCAGCTTGGCGTTCCTCCCTTCGGCCTGGATGAACCGGCTGAGCAGCTGGTAGGCCTGTTCGTAGATGCCCTCGCGCTCGTACTCGAAGGCCAGGTTGTCGATGGTGGGGCCCTTCAGCGCCCGGCACGTCTTCTGCAGCGCACGGCCGACCTGTTTCCAGTCCCGCCCGATGTTGGTGGCGAAGCGCTGGTGGTCGGTCGGTGTCAGCTGGCGATCGACTGAAAAGCATGTTTTTAAAAAGATTCAGTAAAAGTGCCTCTCTAAAGGATCAAGGCTCTATAGTACAAAAAAATATATATTTACCGGTATCCTAGAAGTAGGTAGCAACAGGCCAACATATTGACTGGAGCAAAACTCACCCAGACTACAGATTCAACTGATCATTTTTCTGTCCATATGTCACATTTAAATATTTTTAAATACGTTTATTTTTCCAGGAAAATAAAGGATATTTTTACTGTTGCTGTTTCTTTCAAAAATCTCACTGAAATTAAAGTCAAGATCTCAACGGTTTGACGAGAAATACTGGTCAATTTCACTCTCAATTATCTCACAGAAGGCTACAAGAGACCCGCTACACTTGGTTACGTTTTTCAGGAAACTCAAAGCAAAATGAGAGCGAGCTTCCCACCCATCAGGTGAAGGAGCATCCCAGCAGCTGTATCTTAAAAACAGTTCAAGAAAATGATTCGAATTTTTTTGTGTCTTTAATAGCATAAAAATAAATCATTCTGACTTATTAAATCTAACCTGGGTCGATTTTCAATTTTTAGCTGCAGGTCCAATAGATGACCACTAGGATACATTATTTAAATAGCAATTATATAAGTGAGATCATCAGATGATGGCAGATTCCAGTTTTCTCTCTCATTTACATTCTTATTATACAGTAAAATGACACCCATATGCTAAATAAATGAGCTGTTTTGCAATTCTGCCATGGTGTTAACGCAGTCAGAACCACACATTCCCCTGAACATCTTACCAAACAACTTCTTCTGGAACGTGAAGCAGTTACTAGGCACAGCAGGAGCTTCTGGTCTCGACACTTGAGACGGGAAGCTGTTGGATGAGTCCCGGTCACCTATGGTCAAGTTTAGCAGCTGCTTCTCTAGCTGGGACACTTCATCATCCCGTAGGCGGACGGGCTGCCAAAAGACCAATGATGTCACTTCCGCATGTCAGTATAACCTGCAGATTACATCATGATGCTAGGACCAGGACTGGGGACCCCAGTCCAACAGTGGTCAGCTGCCTTCTCTGTATGTTGCCTAGCAACAATGTCTTAGCGACACAAATATTTCAAGTGGACGCAGTCACAGTGTGTGCAGGCTTTCTGATAAATCGCTGTTTTGATAACAGCTGTCTAAATATATCTTACATAAATGTCTGTAGAACGCGATTAAGGAAGGGAAAATATTTGTAGCACTAGTAGAGAGATAAAATACCTCCTAGAGGGAGATGGACGATGCATCAGCACAGGACACACATTACACCCTCAGTCAGCGCAGTGGAACGGGACACACATTACACCCTCGCTCAGCGCAGTGGAACGGGACACACATTACACCCTCGCTCAGCGCAGTGGAACGGGACACACATTACACCCTCACTCAGCTCAGTGGAACGGGACACACATTACACCCTCACTCAGCGCAGTGGAATGCTCTTACCAGAGAGATTTAATTGCAGTTACTTCTGCAGATTGTGTTAAAACTGCTGCACTTCTTGGACTCCTATGACTCTTTACCTATTAAGTTACACATCAACACAATGGTTCCCAGGCTCGCATTTGGCCTGCGGATTACCTGTGGATTGCTAGCCAGATGACAGCTCTGTCCCCTCACCTGTAAGGAGTGAATGTAGGAGAGGCAGAGATCCTGGTTGGTAAGACACAGATCCAAGACGTTCTCCCCAGCCTTCAGTTGAGTCTCCACTCTAAAGTCCTCTGAGACAGAGAGGATCCGCAGGGTGTGCTGCGTGAAAGCCTGGCTGACGGCAGCAGTGGCGTAGCTCTCCAGGAACTGTCGGCATGTCACCTTGCTCATAAATTTCAGCTCAATGCCCAGGAGAGGGTCTGCATCGTGCAGCTTCAGGATCTCGTATCCTTGAAGACCCCCAGCAGTGTCTGTAGCATGCAAAGAAGTGTAGAAAAACAGATCAGCATTCTGCTCTTTAAACAGTAATCAAAATCAAAACTGCACTACTTTAGGTAAGAGGTCTGGTTTGGCACATTAAATTAACAATCAATGCCACTTAGCACCACCTACAGGCAAGGATGACCAACCACACTCATAACCATTGACAATAAAAAGGCCAGGGAAATTGGAGGAAAAGTCCCACTACAATGCCTCAAACAAGATGACAATGCTAGACCCAGTGAATTTTATCCATAAGTACAAAACATGGTGAACACCATAAAGAACATCTTAACAACTTCGCTATAATGCCAAAACTTCAGCCATTCAAAGTGAATTTATCACAAAGAAAATATGCACCTCCACATTTTTAAATTCCAACCATTTAAAAATCTACTGCACAATTTAACATATTATAGTAAAACTGCAGTATTCCAGGAATTCATGAATTTCTGCAAACTTCTGGCTACCTAGAAGGGGAGCAAGTCCAAGTACAGAGACAAGTGACCCTTATCTAATGCAGCCAGTGTCCCAGACCTTGTCCAAGGGAACTATATTTCCATTAGTGAGGTGCTTCATTGCTCTTAAAACCTTTAACCTAATTACTGAGTGGATCCACCTACTGGACAGAGTAATTCAGCCGTTTCACATGAACCTCACAGCTCTGTCAAACAATCCTGCTGCTGGAACTGAACCAGAATACTTCCGCAGCACCCTAACATCAATCTTTGACAGTGTATCAGAGCATACTTCAAAAAGCTCATTATGAGATCTGCTGAATTTCGCATTGGGGAAGCAGGCATTGTACTTACTAACATTCTTTTGTTCAAAGTAACTACAATTTATTTCTGTTTGCACGGACATAGTTTTAAGCACCTTGGTTCAAAAGCCATACATGTGGCCAGATGACTGATGGATTATGAGTCTGGATTAATCACTGTGGCACCTGTGTGACTAACATACATCCCAAAATAAATCACTGAAACATCACTGCATGTTTTACAGCAATCCATAAAGGAGTAGAAGGTATTTAAAACCAAGAGTGATTCAAAGAAATCTACAGCTGTGCAACTATCAATCTTAAATCAGAATACTACACTGCGTAAAGTGTAACGCTGCACTGTTGTGGTTCAGATCTGTGGTATCAGACTGTCAGTCTCTCTGCTACCCACCTGAAAGCGTCAGCTTGATGACTTTGAAAAGACTATATTTATTCTGCGGATCCTTGTACAATGCCGGCAAGTTCACCTTTGGGCAAGCAGATTTCACGAAGAGGAATGCACACCCCAACCACACACCATCCACACTCTTGGAGCTCATTTTCTGAAACAAGAGCACAGGATATTAAAACCAAACATTCCCTTGAAAAATCTTTCGTATAATACCTCTTATTCTACCTCCGACCCCTTACAGTCCTGATGTTTTGTTGTTACCTTTCCTTCAGGTGTTTCCATCGTCTGAGCATCACTGTCAGGTGACTTTAGCTGCCACAGTTGTTCTTACAGCTGCATGACCCCCAGCTGAAAAACATTAAGCTATATATATATATATATATATATATATATATACACACACACACACATATACACATATATACATACATATATATACACACATACATACATACATATATATATATATATATATATATATAAAGCTAAACTCAACCCAGACAAAAAGAACTTCTAAACTCGTTGTCAGGTATTTATAACACACTTACAACATTCTTTTTATCCTTGAGTAACCCCCCAACATCTTTGCGCCAAACTTACACATCCTCAGCGTTTTACTTATTTCACAGACCAAAGCTTCCTCCAAGCCTGGCCAAAACAGTTTCAGTTATAAATTTCTAATAGATGCACATGTCTTTATGACAAAACGAAAGCAAATAGGGTTCTAATCAGGAAACAAACACAATGTTTGTTGTGTGATACGTACAGTACAAGAGCGTTTCAATCGGCGTACTTGAAGTAAAAGAAACAGCAGTACAATAAAATCCTACATCGACATTTTGAGAATATGCGGATTAAAAAAATAAAGAGAAAAGGACAGTAACTTTACACACAGCTGCTTTTCGTTAACCCACAAACATATAGGTATCCGGAGTAGCCCGTCTGAAGCACAGGAAACGGGTGAAGGGCCGACACGAAGATCTCGGAGAACGAAGTACCTAGGCGGCGGGTTAAAGCGCAGGTCCCCGCTGTCACCAAGCTCAGCCGCCATACGACCACACTCGCGGCTCCAATCTCAGGCGTCAGTAATTTCACCTTACGATACTAAAACTACCCAAAATGCGCCGAGCCGTCCTAAGACACGTTATGAGACAACACTGTAAAAAGTAAGTTTTCTTCTGAACTAGGCTTCAGATATTAAAAGCAGCTTTCTTACGAACTGGGCGTAGTTTTGTCCGTTAAACATGTTTTTGTAAGATTTTTTTCCCACTAACCTTCACACCCTGTAAGTAACACTTTAACCTAAGCTAATTAGCTAATTTTAGTAGTCAACGGTCGTTTCTCTAATGTAACCATCATTCAAAGCCCTCTGCGGTACGAGATTTTTATCGTTTTATTATGTGACTTACTTACCATACACATTTGTGTCAATAAACAGCATTCAACTTATTACTGAACATGCATAAGTTCTGTAGGCTAGTTAGAAGAGATCCGATTGGATAAAATGAACTTTGTACATATCACGTGGTTCGTACGGAGAATCGCTTGGGCTTCTGATTGGTTACCGGACAACATTTTCTTACTGACGTAAAAGGAAAAACTTTCATTTTGATTTACATTGTTACGATGAATTTGATATAGGTAGCCTACTAAACATTTTACAGCTCATTTGTTTTAATGCACACGGTGGCTGACGTATACATCGTCACTACAGATGTTATTCAAAAGGTTGCCGTGAACCGGTCAGACTGTTAATACATTACAAAGAGATGCGGAATTGTTTTCCGCATGACTTGGTACTTAGACGCATTTAGTCGCAGTTATACTAATAGATGCTTTCCCACCGATGTTCTGGCACCTAATTAGAGGTTCTGGTGCCGAGTTCCTGGTGTCGACCTACAATTGGGCAGAGTTCCTACGGTGGAGACGTGACAGAAATTCCTGATTCGTGAAAAAAAGTCCCTGCGGTGCGAAATGACCAAAACACTCCGTTTCGGCTGTGAAATGAAGTTTCCTGAAGAAGTCCTCGCCAACATATTCTCCTACCTCCCGTTAAGGGACAGGTACAGCTCTTCCTTAGTCTGTAAGCCATGGGCCCAGGCGTTGAACTACCCTTCTGTCTGGTATTACACCGAAGTCAGGTTAGTGAATTTGCTATTAACTGTATGTTTTGTACATTGGCAGATATTTATAGACTACCTTTTATGAAAATTGTATTTTATTTTTCAGAAGACAAAAATAAAAAAACCAGATAAATTCAAAACCACGTCATTTTAAGTGAGTTTTAAAAAATAGTCCTCTATCCTGCCTACACTCAGAGTTAATCTCTATTTTTGGTATATTTTAGGGGCTTAACAAATTTGTATATATTTTAAAAGTCTGTTTTAAAAAGTACTGCTTGTACAAAAACCATCCATCTTTTAATGACTAACCACGGAAACCCTAAAGCCATATCCCAGCCAGCATGGGGCACAGTCTGGATGGGATTCCAGTCCATCACAAGGCACATACACACTCACAGGACAATTTACAGATGCCAGTCAGCCCAACTGCATATTTGGCCTGCAGAAGGAATGCAACAACCCTGACGGAGAAAGAACACGCACATGAACACACATACTAAGCAAAGACGGGACTCAGATCCCTAACCCTGGAGGTGTGAGACAACAGTGCTACCCGCTGAGCCGCCCCCAGCCCCCAGCCCCCAGAAAACACTACTTAAAAAAATCTTGTCACACAGGTTTACTGAGAGTTTAATTGTGTAGAGACGTGAATTTTAAAATAAAGAGGAAAGTGTTAAAACTTGTCTAACAGCCACATACGTACATAATAGTGGCCCAGTGTTGCTGGGGTGCAGCACTGCATGTTGACCTCTTTTAACTTACTTACTATTTTATGTGAATTCTGAGATGTTTCATGTATAATGATACTTTATTGATCCTCTGGCAAACTGACCCACAGACATGACTATTCTACTGAGGCTGGGCTTGAACCAGCAACCTTCAGATTAGAGGTATAGCAGTTTAGCCACCTAAGCCACACACTTAAGTCATCTGCAGTTGTACTGCGCACTATGCCAAGACAAATTTCTTATAAGAATGAACTTATATGGCCAATAAATTTTATTCTTTCATTCAATCATTCACTCAGGTAATTCCAAACTACAGGGGAATCTACAGCAATATTTTCCAACTCGGTCCTCTGGGACCCATGAGTCCACATTGTTGTTCCCTCCTAGCTCCAAGAAATGTGGACTGTCTAGGGACCTCCAAGGAGTGGTTGTGAAAAAAATATCTAGAGAATATCAGCTCACCTTAAAGATTTTGTCTTTGGGTATTTCATACCTGCTTTATTTCAGCAGATGTGAGACTGGAGCTGAAGACCACGGCCTTCAGCATTTCTGCCACCTACTGGGGATGGTCAAGCACCTGAAAATCATCGTCTGTCAACTGAAGGATGTGGCGAACCGGGACATGGCGCTGCGAGTGTTGAGCCAGGCAACAGACCAGAGCAACCGGCTCCAGAAACTGAGCGTATCCTGCATGGGTGAATTTCCCCTGTTCTACTCCGGTGAAGACATTCTCCATGGCATAGAAGCCGTGCTGCTTAACGAGGCCAGTGGCCTGTCACTCAGGGAGGTTGATTTCAGGGACATGCCCTTCACTCTGAGCGACCAGCTGATCAGGAACATCGCCCAGCGAAGCCCTGACCTGCAGAGGATATACATCAACAATCAGGCTCTGGTGTGCAACGTGACTGTGAACACGATCCAGCAGCTGCTGGTGTCCTGCCCCAAGGTCCAGGTCCTGGGGGCTTTCTATGCCAGTCTGTCAGAGAAGGTCCTCAGTGAGTTACTCTTGCCTGGAAGAGCTCCACTCAAGCTTCTGGAGCTGTATTGCGAGCGGTCTGACAAGTATGTGCCGGCTATTTCCAATGGATTCTGGGAGGTCTTGCACAAGAGACACCCCTCCCTGTCGGTAAACGTTATCCTCAACCACACTCTGCCCGCCAAGAAGTTCCTGAAGATTCTACAGCCGAGCATCCCCATACGTGACCTGGAGCTGCTTACCTACACATACCTGGTGAACGAGGTCAACTTTGTGGCCGCCAGCTACGGGACAACCCTCGAGAAGCTCGTGCTGCAGACAACCTCATCTGCAGAGCTTGACCTAGCGCTGGTGGGCCTGGCCTCCAGTTGCCCGCACCTGAGGGAGATCCACTGCTACTGCGTGGTGACCCAGGGCGTGGTGCAGGCCTTCTGCACCAAGTGTCCACACCTGTGGAGGTACACGCTAAAGACACGCAAGGAGCCACACCCCTGGACTTGTACAGTGATCAAGTGACATGAAGGATGACCCCAAAATGAAAGTTTACTTCAGATCATTGGTTGCCAACCCAGCTAACATCTTGCAGAAGCCCTGCATTCACAGTACAAATAAAAACTACAAACATTGTAACCATAAGAGACTTCATTTGATACTGGGATTTATATAGAAAATTTAATTTGGGAACTAAATGTAAATCAAATTTTATTGTATGGTGAAACACCATCTACTATTGGTTTCATGCTGTTCTGTAAACTACAATCAAATCATTTCACTGTTGACTGCATGATCCTCTGCAGTTTATAACTAAACACTGTTTGCTGTTGACTGCAGAATGTACTGTAATCTATAGTCAGACACTTGTGTTGACTTGATTTTGCACTGTAGTCTGTAGTCAAACAGTGTTTGGTGTTGACTGCAGATTGTACTGTAATCTATAGTCAGACACTGGTGCTGACAAGGAAGCTTCTTAATCTATGCACAAAAGCAGATTTTATTATGATTGCTACTGTGTTTTTGCACTATGCAAATAAATTTCCTTCTTTCCTTGTCTTCGGTTGATGTAATTGTTATAGTTCATTGAAGTGTGATGAAGTGTGCCTTGGTTTAATTATTAATAATCATTAATTATCGATTAGGGTAAAGGATGACCTGAAATTGGAATGAATTTCCCGCATATGTTCACAGTCAGCCCCCCCCCCCCTTGACTAATACGGAAGCTTGAGGGGAAGCGAAGTCCGTAGACCTCATCACATTCAGAGTTACTGCCAATGTGTTTCTCTTACAGTTCATTTTTTAGCAAAGTAAGGAAATTGCAGGTTTGTCTCCATTTACACAGCAGACAGTTTTGTTGTGACTCTGGCTCCCTTTCTAAACAATACAGCAAAAGTGCCCCTTCTGAGACTTGAACCTGCTACCTTTGTAAGGTGTATAAGCTCTACATCAGTGTTTCTCATCCCAGTCCTCAGGGAACCCTGGACGTTCCACGTTTTTGCTCCCTCCCAGCTCCCAGCCAATCAGGAACACCAAATACCTGGTACAGGTGCGCTGGGAGCTGAGAGGTAGCAAAAACGTGGACTGTCCGGGGGGTTCCCCGAGGACTGGGTTGGGAAACACTGCCCTAAAGTACTGAAAGTGGCCCTGATGCCCCTATCAGGAACGTGTGACTATGTACGCCCCCATGGCAATCCCTCCTGACAGCTTAGGCTAGGCACCTGGGTGGCTAAAATGACCCCATCCGACGCAGGCTGAGCTCGTGAGAGCCTGACTCACTGAGCAGGAATCTCGGGTTAAATGTGGGGTCTCATGTTCGACGCCCTCAGCAGCCTGCAGCCCCTCCGGCACCCAGTCCCATCCTGGCGGGCTCATGCACGAGTGAGTATGCGCCATTGTACCAAGTGTGCGTGACTCAGGGCCATTATTCCCAGCTTTGAGCTGGCCAGCATTGTGCGCCCCCGGGGGCCCCATTGTTGTGCTGACGCCGGCCAGCAGGGCCAGGGAGGGGGGCGATACGGCGGAGTGACTGGGTCGGCACAAGCCTCAGTCAGCTCTGGCACAGCCCAGTGGGCGACAAGATGGACTAGGAGCGTCCGGCGGACCCTAGGCATTCCGCGGCAGAACGCGCACAGCGGTCGCATAGCGCATCTGCGCCCCCCTCCGAACG